TTCTCTCCCTTCCCCGGGGGCTGCCGCTGATCGCCCCCGCTCTCCCCGTTTCTCTTACAGAGCTGAACGCGGTCCCGGGACGTGCCCCGCGGCAGCACGTCCGCTTCCTGCCGGCCCCGGGCGACGACGGGGCACCGGGGCTGGTGGCCGCGAGGGTGCCGGTGCTGGCCGACCACCCTCTCGGTAAGGGCCGCCGTGGGGTCTCGGGGTGGGTGGGGGGGGGGGTTGGGGTGCGGGGGGAGCCCCGGGGGGTGGCTGCGGACCGGCCCCGACGCTGTCCCCCCCGCCCCGTTGCAGTCCGAGGCCCGCGGTTCAGGAGGCTGAAGATCGGAGCGGGTCACCGGCTGGATGTGAAGGCCTCGGGAGTCTTCGGTGGGTCTCGTCCCGGAGCGGCACCGCGTCCCGCCGGCTGCGAGGTGATGGGTTTCTGTGTGGGGAAGAAGCGGTGACGGCTCACGGCGGTAGCCCCTGGGTCTCACGACCCAGCTGGGCGTATAAATGCTGAAACACAGAAAAAAACAGTCCAAAAAGACACTGGATAGGCGGGAGCGACCCCTTACCCCCAGCACACAGGGCTTTGCTGTGAGACGTCAAGCTCCTGCCTGTGACACCGCCATGTAACCCCCCGTCTCTGCTCCACCACTTGAATTGGCCTCATTGCGGCCGGCATTGCTCAGCAGGTTGCTCTGAAGTATCCAGGTGGAAAGTTCTGGGAAAATCCAAGTGCCCTCGTTACAGGCTTATCATAGTTTTAATGACAGGCAGTAATTTGGGGGGTCTAATGGCACTGCTCAGACATGACTTCTAAGGAGATATGGCCCTGTCCAGGGTGGAAGAAAAGCAGCGTGAGTGTACAGCGCTGTGTAAATACACATCAGTAACTTTCCGTGTGGATGAATAACGGGTTCCTTGTCTTTTGTGTTTCAGTACTTGGCATAGGCCACGGGAACAAGCTACTCACTGATCTGTACAACTGCCACCTGACCAAGGTAGGTTTTGGCTCTGAACGTCCTCAGAATATCCAAGTGCAGTCACACACTTGAGTCCTGCCCCGGACTGGCCTTGTAACGGCGATTCTGCTTTTGAGTCTCAAACCCACTAACGCTTTTGAGACCTTTTCAGGGTCCAGAATTTCATCCTGCACGTAAGCATCCACACGTGGCTGTATGAGCAGAGGACACTGCTGTCTTTTTGTGCAATGTCATCATAGCCTGCACTTCTTAGCAGCTGCATGGCAGAATATGGCTACTCAATTGCTTAGAGTATGTCTTTGATAAGTTGCACTCTTTGCCCTTCTTCAAGGTTTACACTGTTGGTGGGCTTCTTGGTAAAGCCACTGATGACTTCTCAGACACGGGGAACCTAGTAGAGAAGACAACATTTGGTAAGAAACTGAATTGATGTGTTGTGGTGGTTTAACCCCAACCAGCAACTAAGCACCACGCAGCTGCTCACTCACCCCCCCCCCCACAAGTGGGAAGGGAGAGAGAATAGGGAAAAAAAGTAAAACTTGTGGGTTGAGATAAGAACTGTTTAACAGAACAGAAAGGAAGAACCTAATAATGATAACAATAAAATGACAATAATAATAAAAGGATTGGAATATACGAAACAAGTGCTCACCACTTGCCGACCGATGACCAGTTAGTTCCCGAGCAGTGATCCCTCCCAGGCCAACTCCCCCCAGTTTAGGTACTGGGCATGACATCACATGGTATGGAATACCCCTTTGGTCAGTTTGGGTCAGCTGTCCTGGCTGTGTCCCCTCCCAGCTTGTGCCCCTCCAGTCTTCTTGCTGGCTGGGCATGAGAAGCTGAAAAATCCTTGACTTAGTCTAAACACTACTTAGCAACAACTGAAAACATCAGTGTGTTATCAACATTCTTGTCATACTGAACACAAAACACAGCACTATACCAGCTACTAGGACGACAATTAACTCTATCCCAGCTGAAACCAGGACATGTGTTTATAAAAAAACCAACAAACAACACCAAACAAACAGCGTGCTAACTGTAAAGCACTTAACCAGGTAAATTGCACAATGATAAAAGGTATGCCTTAACATGCTTTCTAGTTGTTATTTTTACCTGCAGCCCAGGTGCAATCCTGACATCATAGTCCACCTGTTCTAAATACAACCACAATATATCCAAAGCCAGTATGAGTCCTGATTGCAGTAGTTGCTACTGGAGTGGGTGGGACCCAGATCTCTCCGTAAATTGTACTTACAGCAGTTAGAAGCTTTCATTGAAGGAAACTCTTCAAACACCCGATAAGAGAAAGTGGAGCTAACATCTTGAAATTAGTTACGCAAAATAATTCTTGCCTCTGCAGTCCAGTGCTGTGCTGCTCTGTGGATTACGATGGTGCAGCTGGGAGAAGTGACCCTGCTAAAACCACTTCTTGGCGGTTCTCATCAGCCATTTTGATGTGACTGCCTGCCAAAGGGACAGCAATACCCTGATGGCACATACCAGACTGCTGCCTCTTTCCAGTTTCTGGATGGATAATTGAGACTTTGTTTCTACCTGAATATTTGCAGATCATATCACAAGGGAGAAGCTGGAACGGATTCTTGCTGTCATTCAAGGAACAAATCATAAGGCCCTGCTGATGTACGTATCAATGGGTAAATGTAGCTGACCTGATCTGACTACCGTTTGCTGGTCTTTAAAACAAATGAGATGATTTTGTTTGCCATAATCAAAGTCTTTAAAGGGTGGAGTGCTAGACAGGAACAGAGAGAAGTTACTGAGTGCTCTGTGCCCTGGTGATAGGTTGCAGTTAAGTGTCCTGAAATCTCCAGCTATTTTAGGACCTATTAGGCACATCAGGACCTACAAAAATATCTTGTAGGCATGACCAAGTACCTCCCTCCCAAACTGTGCTAAACTACTGGTGGTACGCATATCATAGCATTAAAATATATGCAAAGACTCAACACACAGGCAGTTTTGAGAGTAAAAATTGCAGCTCTGCTTTATTGGGGGTGGAGATATTTTGAATCCCATTGAAGAGAAGTACTAAGAATGTCTGCTCTTTTTTTTCTTTTTCCAGGCATTCTAACATTGACATGAAAACACAAGAGGCATATGAGCTGGCTGTCAAAGGGTTGATTCGCCCCATGGGAAAAAGTCCTCCAATAATCACAGCAATCCGATGCCTCCAGTTCGCACTTCCAGAATTCCAGCTAGGTAGGACTGGTACAAAATGTACTGGGGAACTCTGAGCATATATCATGGCAAATAAGTCAGTAAACTTCAGTTTCTTATAAGTGATTTAATGCAAAATGAGTTGGTGGGAACTTTGTATTAACACGTAACTGGTAATCTCTGCAGAAAATTTAATGTTTTGTAGTTTCCAGAGTCACAAAAGTACCTCCTCATTAGATGAACTCTTTAGTGCAGTGAAAAGATTTTTTTGGTAGGGCAAGATCTGGAACCCTCACAATACCAAAGCTGCTTTATAAATCAAAGCCAACTGTGCACCTAGCTCACAGGTTTTTCCCTGCCAGTTCCAGATCTTAGACTGAACCAAGAAAATTTGCACAGTGAATACCTATGGGGCAAAATTCTTCCTTATCCCAGTGTTTCAGTGTAATGCAGTTCAGTGTGTGGTTTTTTGTTTGTTTGTTTGGGTTTTTTTTAAAGCTTGTTTGCTTTCCTGCAGCCAGTCTCCTCACAAATTATTTGTCTTATTAAGAAGGTACCTTTTCTTACCCACTTTGAAATACCTAAATTTCTACATTACTCTGCTGTATCCATGAGTTTGTCTTCTAAAACATTCACTTTGGGAATGGCTAAGACACCCTGTAGCATTCCAGAAAATCATAATCCACCTGTGCTGTATCTTAAATAGTTTCTTCTACCAAACCAGTTCTTTCAGCATAACTGTGAGTGGTGTCTGGATTTACAGACAAGGTCTGAGTTTGTCAACACTTTGCTTCTTCTGAACGAATCTCTCTGTCCTTCTAGAAATCCATTGCTTGCATGAGACTCAGCAGTACCTCCGAAAAATCGTTCATGAGATTGGTCTGGAGCTGAAATCATCTGCTGTGTGCACACAAGTGCGAAGAATACGCGATGGTGTTTTCACACTGGACGATGCTCTCCTGAGAACTCAGTGGAACCTGCAGAGTATACAGAATGCAATTTGGGACTGTCAGCTTAAAGTGAAAACAGAGTTAGAGAAAACACTAGGCCATCAGGATAAAATTCATCTTCATAAGATGGATGTGGATATGGCCCACGCTGCAGACAGCTGAGTGTGTGCTACGGAGGGAACGTCCACAAGCAATCTCTGTAGCACAATAACGCAGCTACATGCTGACAGCATGATGGACAGCAGAAGGAAAGAGGTTAATTGCAGTTCACTTCCACCCTTTCCTTGAGATGACTTTAATCAGAGAGGCATTTTTTTCAGTGACAGGCTGTATAATTTTTTTTAAAGCATTGCAAACAGTTCATTAACAGGAGTTAGCTGTGCCAAAATTCCTGTTGACTTCGGGAACATTAGGTTGCTAAGGGATATAAAAACCCATCCCCATATTGTTTAGCAGCAGGAAATAGCGTTTTAGAGAGCTGTATTCCCTTGATTGCATGGATTTGTTTCTTCCTTGCAACTGGCAGCATAACTTGTCTACTATATGGATTTTATTTTCCCTCTTTTGTCCTAGAGTATATTCTTTCCATTAGCCTGGCTTTCAGACACGAGAGCTCAAAATCAGACTAAAAGAGGGACGTGCAGGAGAAAACACAGCTTACACAAAGAAATGCAAGGAAATGGTTATATCCAGAGTAGGCATGTGTGTGATGAGGAAGTGGCTTATAATAGGAATTGATGTGTAAGATAGATACACGAGAAATAAAACTAAGTGACCTAAAGGGGAAGAGGCTGGTTTCCTGGCTCAGTACTCATCCATGACTACACCGACTCATCGACTCATTACAAAAAGAGCGTGCTTTTTTTTTCCTGAGGAACCAATGGTGTTCAGGGGTCTGTGGTATCCTGCTCTGCAGCAGCTCCATGCTGACAGCATGTACTGCCCTTCAGTAAAGCTCTGTAAGCTCTGTAATACCACTTGTTCCCTGTTAGCTCATTATAGCTGGGTCTGACTTAGCAGAAATACTGTTTCTAAATATAAATTAAAAATCTGAAGTTACCCTTACCATTATTGCACTCAATATTTTTCCAGCTATACACTTAGCTAGCAAGTTTGGAGATTTATTTATAGAAAGCAGAAGATTTGTTCTATTCCTCTTCTGGATTTGGACAAAGGCCAGCATATTTCATCCTCCAGATGATAGCCATTAAAGTACAAGAAGTAACTCTGGGAGGACCAGTAAGAGGGGCCATGATGAAGTATCGAAGTGGCAGGGTGCAGTCCTGTCCTGAAGCACCCCAGGAGTCATTTAACTTAGACCCTGGGATCTTTCAGTTCTGGGTTTCCCTGCTCTGCACAGAGCAGCCAGAACAGCAGTGGAGTGTAGCTGCCACCATGTGGCACATCACTGTTCCAGCTACAGAGCTGCAGGGACTCCCCAAGGGCAGTTTGCTTTTACCTCAGCTGGTTAGTTCTGTGCACGTTCATACTGTGTGGACAAGGGACAGGGGTCAGGGCACCTTCCACGGACAACTGTCTTGTGCTAACTGAAGTGTAAACCCATCACTGCAGAAACATGAGTTCTGGAGCTGGGCAGAACACTTGGACAGCTACAGCTGCAAGTTTTAATCCTAGTGCTCCTACAAGGAGGGGAAAACAGGGATTTCTCAGTCCTTAAATAACCTTCAGTAACTTTGGTAATGGGAGTATACTTCATCCCCCATGGCTTACACCTAACACAAACTGAAGGAATTTCTGTACATACTTCCCATTGCAAAAACCATTTCCAGTTCTGTGTGCCATTGCCAAACTAACAGTTGGTTGAACACTCCAGGCTAAACCAGTTCTTTGACACAGAAAATACCAGCCAGAACAGCAACATGAGTTTTGAGAACAAAGTGAGCATTTCCCAGTTCTAGCCTTCTTGTGACTTTTTTCCTCCCCTTAACACTTCTCCAAAACACAGGAGTTCCGCCCACTTGGCAAGAGGGGTTGATGGTAGGGAGGATATACCTGTAACCATACCACGGGAGTCCATTCTTGTGTGGCCACAGTAAATATCCTCCAGAGAAGCACAGCTGCACATTAGCAGAGACTTGCTTGAATGAATCACAGAGTACACAGGCTTTGTCTGTCCCTCTGCTTTAGACCCCTCCCCACAACTTTTGTGGCAAAACAAGATACTTATTAGTGATGCTTCTGTGCCAGGTCCAGAACCAAGACTGCAGAAGCAATTATGTTCTCAGCAGCAGCCTTGTGACTGTTTTCTGGTTTCCAAGCACTAGGAAGACAGATTCATTTGATTCAAATTTGGAAATAATGTGCAGACTGCAGCATGGGCCTGACTGGAGACCAGGGGGGAAACTTATTATCAAGAAGGTCTTGGAGTAGAAATGGGCAGAAGGACATGAAGCCTGAGTCAAAAAGGGACAATGGATCTGCAGTCAGCAGAGCACTTTATCACTTAGAACTGCCCAAAGCAGCCAAATTTAGTCTGTGCAGTCACCCTCAGTCCTAACACCTGACATTGAAACCCTCATGCTCTCAACATAATTTTGTGTTTAGGACACTGCTCACTTTCACAGTGACTCTGCATTTAGAAGACTAAAGGTAATTCTGCACCTACCCATTACTGGGTATTGCTGCCACACTGTCTCCATTAAGAGTCCTCAGAAAACATCTGAATAATAGATGTTATAGTTGTCTCAGAATATAGTTTAAGAATTTGTTCCCAGGTTCATGCAATGTTTTATAGGCTCTTAAAGTGAATTACTGAGAAATGTGATAGCTGCTTTATTGAGACTGGCCAGTTCAACACAACTTCACATTTTGCCATTTACTACAGAAATGATACAAAACCTCTAGATACCAGAGCAGTTAAGTACAAAAATGCCGAACACCCAGACTTACCCAGATTTGATCATAAAACAAAACAAAAACCCCAAACCACCACAACTTCAGCCTTCTTCCCTCCCTACTTCTGAGGGTTTTTTCTTTTCTTTCAAAGCAGCTATTACATTGCACATTTGTATGCCCTCACTTCCTCTACCCTTTCTGTATCCAAATAGCCCCTGGATGCTGTAGAGAAGCAAAGGCTCCATGGGAAGAGTCTTAACATCAACCTGAATAACCACCTTTCCAATTAAAAAAACACCCAAAACAATACTGTTCATCAGGCAGTAGACAAAATTATCCAAAGTCCTACACCCCTTTCCCACAAGCAGGAAAGAGCTTTTAGATTCAACAACTTTCATATTCCAAAGCTTCTTAGAAATAAGGCTGTTAACCCATACTCTGTTGCAATTCTACATACATACTTCTGAGGCCACCTTATGTCAGTTCTAAACTGATATGGCACTAAAACATAATGGCCCAGTAATAGTCATTTTTGCAGGATGTGGCAGTCTTCAGATTCAATACTAGTCGCTAAGCTCCAGATCGTATTCAGGGTAGAGCTGCTTTGTAGTAACCCCTCGGATAACAGCTAGAAAAGAAAGAAATACCACTGCTTTAATTAAACAAGGATCAGATCAGTCAGAAAAGCTGTGTTTTCCTCCCAGTAGCCCCTAACTATCCCACAGAACCTCCCACAGCTAAGAAACCCATCTAAAGGTTTGCAGCTACGCTCCCCACTTGTCTCAACACTTTTCTTTTTTTAAGCATATGAAGAACAAAACTCACAAAAATTAGTAAGACTTATCAAATTTTGGTAATCCATAACACAGACTAAAATACCAGTAAATGATGATTATTTCACATGTTCAGTTCTAAAAACATCCCAAGAAAATAATGACAGAAGTGTTTGTGCTTACGCAAGTGATTGGGTAATATAAGCCTAGAATTGAAGAATCTTTAAAACAAGGTCTGCCTTCATGGCATGGTAGCCTCTCTCTCTCTCTCTCTCTGTCTATATGTCAACAGCTTTCCCCTTCCTTACCCAGCTTGCCCAGCAGCATCTGTCCGGCATCTTTAATATCATTATACTCATGGAGCAGAGAGATGTGCTTCTCCAATTCCTCCAGGCTGTAGCCTCTGTAACAATAAAACCAGAAAGGTCAAAAATGACACAGAGGGATTGCTGCTGCTGCCGCCACTACTGACCAAGCACAGCAAGGATATCTGAGATACCCAAGCCTGGCATGTCAAAAGCAGAACCTGAAGGCAGCAAGTACAGTTGCTGCAAGTCATAAACATGAAAGCTACAAATGAGCAAATCCTTATTTTGATTTTTTTTGCCACATCAAGACTTACCAAAAAAACCAATCCACCCGCATTCTCAGAATCAAGTAGAAACACAAATAGGCTGTGGTGAATTCAATTTATACGTATCTCTAATCTGCAGCTAGGGAAAAACAATTAAGCAGGTCTGTTTATCCTTGAGGATAAAACAAAAAAGCTTTGGAACAGCCTTTGTTGTTCTACCATTTCCATTCTATGCACTACACCTTATCTCAGAAAATATCACTCCTTTGCAACAAATAACCCACAGAGATTCCCTCTCTTTAAAAATCAAGCAGCAATTTTATCTCAAAACAGTTGCTAATAAGCAGCTGCCACAGTGTGTCATAAGAAACCACAATAAAACAGTTGCATTACCCTGTATGTGGCACTCCTCATGCCAAAGTGTTCTATAGGCCACTTGCTTGCCTGGAAAACACCTCTGGTTCTTGAACACAAAGGTTTAACCCACTCGCCTCAGACATAAAACAAGTGAACACTTGATCAAGATGAAACAAAAAAGGAAACAGATTTATCTGGGACTAAATTTGGCAGGTCATACAAGTCATGGTCTCAATTTTAATTCTCACATGAACAAGCTCTTCTGGTAGCACAGCACGTTGTAGTATCACAATGGTTAAAGCTGTTCATTCCCAGTTTATGTGTAATTACCTCTGGGGTAAAGTTAAAATCCTCTTATGCAAGCTCCTAGTAAAACTTGTTTTGCTTTACCAAGTAAACCGGAAAGAATTCCCTCTTGTCTTTAAGAGGTCACACAACTCAAAACAACCCTGTAACCAACATTGTATAGCACCATGATAAAAATGGCATAAAAGGTCAGCTTTTAGCTGTAATTCCTGGACCATACATTGTTTTAAAAGAACAAAAATAATTGAGGCATCACAGTGAACAGCAAGTTTGCCAAGAACATACTCGGACAATAATTGTGCAATTTCTTGGTCTAGAGCAAGGTCCTTCTGTTTCAGCTCTTTGATTTCATACTGCAGGGCTTCTTTGTTGGTTCCATTAGGCTGGCAGGACCTTGGAGACGGGATCTGTAGAGCACAGAAGACATTTAACAATAACTCAGCCCTGGATAAGATGCTACAGTGCTGGAGGGCACTAGTCAGAAAATAGTCTATGTGTCACTGGATAAAAAAGGAGAAAAAAAGGAAAGAAAAGAAAATATCTCCTGGGCAGGGAGGGGGGAAGCTCAGGTAAAATATTTACCAGTTTATGTAACGTTAGCCTGCTCCAGATCACGTTCGACAGCATTCTGCAGACTTACAGCGTAAAGAGAAAATAAAAAACAAAACCCACAACGTGACTTTGAAGAGAAGCTCCCAGGGCGACGCAGCGCTAAACCGGGGGGCCGGCGGTTACTCGGGCAACGACCAACTTCACCCTCCCGGAGAAACTCTCCCGGCCGGGCCGGGCCGGGCCACCGCCGGAGCAGGCCCCGGCCCCACGCCGGGAGAAGGCAAAGGTCGCTCCCGGTGGGAGCCACCCAGCAGGGCCCACCTCCCGCCCCTCCATCCCGGGCGGGGACTCACCGGTGACTTGAAGCCGGCAGTGCCGCTGCACCGGCCGCCACTGGAGGTCCTGGCAAAGCAGAGGGGCGCCGCGTCAGAGGCCGGACACCCCCGCCTCAGAGGGGACACGGCCCGCGGCGCAGCGAGGGAGCGGAAAGGGCAGCGGGGAACCGGCTCCTACCTCCTCGGCAGAGCCCGCGGCGGCGGCGGGTGGCGGGGCGGGCTGCGGCCCGCGCCCGGCGGGACCCCCTCGGCCAGGGCTGCCGCCTCCCGCCGGACTGGCACCGACTGCCCCGCAGGGCACGCCGGGAGTTGCAGTCCGCCCGCCCCCGCGGGGCACGCCGGGAGTTGTAGTCCCTCCCGCCGCCGCGGGGCACGCCGGGGCGGGTAGTTTCCCCCTGACAGGGTCCGGCGGTGGTTCCCGCGCCCGAGGCGGCGGGCAGGGCTGGAAAAGAAACTTCCCCGTGTGAAGCTGCAGGTGACGATTAGGTGAGGCAGAACGTAATTATCCAAATTACTACAGCCTAGGTGATTACACTCGGTGCCTTCAAAAAAAACCACCTCAGAGCCACCTCAACCCTGGGGCTGCAGCCTGGATGGGGTCTCAGGGAGAGCTCTGAGGGCCTGCGGGGTCACTCGCACAATTATTATTTTTATAGGGGAAAAGCTGCCACCACTCGAGGCACCGGCTGCCCCGTGCATCCTGCCTGGCTGGAGGAAGCGCTCGCTGACAGGGCAGCGCAGCCGCTGGGTGTGCAGCCATACCCTTCGAAGGCCCTGGCCCTGCTACCGAAACCTTGCCACGCAAACCCCGTGCAGGTTCTGCGACCAGCGCAGAAGAAGCCTCTTTCCCGCAGCTCTCCTGGCCCGGCTGGCAAAGGTAAACGTGTCCCTGAGCAGCGCCAGGCACTGGCTGCAGCCGTATCCGATTGCCTGGGCTGACCACGCGAGCCAAACGCCGCTGTTGCCACGCTCAGAAGGTCAAAGGACTTGGGAATGGGATCACAGGCCAGCAAAACCCATTTGGGAATGGGATCACAAGCCAGCAAAACCCAACCGCCTGCGCTAACCGTGACTTCAAAGGCAGAGCCCGGACATCAAAGCGACGCACACAAAATAGAAAGCTATGCAGATTTGTAGGACGTGCCCTACAAAGGACGGGGGAAGCCTGCCCAGCTCCCCGGGCCGGTTTTAGCCGGGCCATTGAGTCAATACAGGAACGCGGGGCAGCGCAGGCTGTCCCACAGGAGGAGGAGGGAAGCGGGGCAGGGAATCCCACACAGAGGAGGAGGGAAGCGGGGCAGGGTGTCCCCCAGGAGGGGGGGGGGGGGGGGGCAGTGCCGGTCGCAGAGGCGGCCCCGGAG